CATAGGTGTAACAATTGAAAAATCTGACCAATTTTATACTTTCATGCCAAAATTTATAAACACGAAAAATTGAAAAATGCCAAAAGAAATATACTAGAGGTCATAAAAAACTAAAGCAAAAACTCATACATATCCGTATTACTATAAAGGATTGTTATAGTTACTTATAGAATTTGAAGAGAATTGAACTTTGGGATAAGAAATTGAGGATGGCTAAACAAGAAGAGAAAATAAAATAAAAGTTAAAAGGTGACATACATAACAAATGAAATGACAAAGAGAATAAAAAGAAAAAAGGAGGAAGAACGAAGAGTTGATTCGAAAAGGGGAAAATGATAAAAAAAAAATGCAAAAAAAAAAATAAAATGGAAAGCTACGAATATATTAAAAACTATTTTTACACTTTGAACAACATAGAATTTTTTAGTAAAAAATTCTTTATTATATATATAATATTGTTTCTGGGGCCCTCATCAGGAAGGAGTCTTAGGCAATCACCTACCCCACCTATAGTTAGGGTTGGGATTGTAGAATGCTTGTATATACTACCATGAGCTCGCACATGATTCATTCAACTTTGACAAATATTTGCCACTAATCCATTTGTGAGTTTCTAACATGTTTAGCCCCTGTTTGGCACTCATTCTTATTTTTTTCTCTTTCTTCATTTCAACCATATATTCTTCTAATAAAATAATATTACACACAAATCTAAAATTTTTCATAACTTTTTTACCACACATTCTCCCATCAATCACTATTTCAAAAATTCTATTCTCCAAAAAATGGGTGTCAAACACCCTTTGAATTTCAATTGAAGTTCCAATAATATCATATTTAAAATTACAATACGACTATGGGAGTGAAATGGAAAACATAAAGGCCCATTAAAGAAAAATCGAATAATCTTTTATACATACTAGTAGTAAGCAAGTGTGTTGCATGTCTTATGTATTAGATGAATGATATGCATAATATTTTTGAAGTACTAATACTATTTTGAAATATAAATAAAACTTTTTATGAAATTATATAAATAAATATATAAGGTTAAATAAACTGAAATGTAATGTTTCGATTACAATAATACTTCTTTGTACACTTTTTTTTTTTTTTTATCAATGTCTGACAAATTTTCTTCTTTTTATTTTCTGATTGTATCAGAACTTTGTTGTTTTAAATTGAAACTTAGCAAGAAAGTACAACAAAGATGCCTATGAGTGAATACATGTTTAGGAATGTATATTTCAACAATGGCATTGTTTGTCTTTAAGCCTTATTAATGATCATTACAAAGCATATAAATNAATGATCATTACAAAGCATATAAATATTCGAAATTGTTTCCTCTTAAATTTGAATTAATATCCTTCATAATTTGTTGAAGTTAATGGAATGCGCGAAAGGAAAACTTGTTTTCAAGCATGTTATCCAACGATTTTTTCTACATAGATAATATGTTTGAAATCACAACAAATCACTTTTGTTTCATTGCAAAGACCATTGAATAGGTCCAGTTTCCTTAAAAGTATTACTGGACAATTTCATTTCAAAATTAACTTATATGATGGGATACCATTTGACAACAATGTATTTAGGAACTCCTCTTCGTAAAATTGGTTTGTATTATCTATTACTTCATCAAAGTTGACAAATTCTTCACATTCTCTAGGAAATAACCCAACTAGTTTGTAATTGAGGTAATCAATATACTCATTTTTTGTTGAAAGAATTACACATTATGTCATATGATCTGAAAAAGCTGTATTTTTTGTTAAACTTGGAAACACTGCATTGATTAAGTGTAACTCTCAAGTTTTAGCATCATTACATTCTATAATTATCCACTTTCGTAAGTTAATGAAGTCATCCTTTATGTAAGGTTTTGTTCCATTACCAATTTGGATCAAGTATTGTACAAATCCATTTTCATTTTGAGCATGCGTATTTTATTTAGTTGTAGCTTTTCCATTTTCTCCAAAATTAATGATTTGTTATCTTGTTACTCTTGTGACGAAAGGCAATACGTGGCAAAAATCTCCTCCAAATAAAAAACCTTTCCATCAAATGGTTCTAAATTATTCAAGATATCTCTTAAAGTTCTATCAAGGATTTATATTGTCTTTTTGTTGGTCGTTGGTGCTTTATCCCATATTATGAGCTTTCCGTGTCAAATCAATTCCGATGTAGCACTTTGCTTTGATATATTACACATTATTTATTCGTTACTCTAGAATGAAATATTGAATCTTAAATGGAAGGTTTGCTTCCTGGCATTATTGCTAATGCTGTGCCTGAAGTTACTATCGTAAGTGCTATCATCTTCTGACATCGAACCTTTGCTAGTAAAGCACGGTATCGCCAAGTCCTTTGACAAAAAACACACTTCCATTTCCACTTTTCATTTCGAGTTATAACATCTAAAGTAGGCTTTTGTTTTGGATTTAGATATGATGTTGCTTGAATATCAACATTTGGAATTTCGACAAAGCGTTCATCTAAAATTTCATTTGCATTGAATTTATTGTTACCATGGAAGGTATCAATAAGTTGAGGCAAGTCATATGCTAACTATATGGATATGTACATCTTAATTTGAAATTTTGCCTAAACATTTTGATTCAATTGTTCTAAGTAAATTTCTGGATCATTGGAGATATGCACCATTCTTCTAATATTCATGTGAAAGCCAAAAGGAGATAATAAAAAATCATTAAAATAATTGGTAAGAACTTTAAATCAAAAGTTAATTCTAAATTCTATTCCCTTGACAATTTGAAAAGAAAAAAATATACAACTCCCTCAACGGTTATCTTGATTTATTTTATGAAAATAATTTTTTAGCAACAGACGATGGAGTGGGGGAAGATGGATAGAAAATAAAAATGGATAGGTAATATCTAATAAAAATTTTGATGGGATTCGTTGAGTTCAAGTACTTCTCGATGGGCATTCATCGAAAAACTGGTGGATGACTAATCCTAGAAAGACATTCTTGAAATGAGAAAAATGACTTAGCAGATTAATAGCATTTTTTATTTAATATATTAATTATATTATGCATAACAACTTACATAATAGTTTACAAACAGAAGATGGTCGAGATTTAATTGGATCAAAATCTCATCAATCAAACAACTTATCCACTTAAATTTTGATATTTCATCATTATATAAAATCTTATTTAAATTTTTATGTACAAGAACCATTTTCCAAAAAAAAAAAATAATAATAATAATAATAATAATTCTCCACTCTCTTTTGACAACTCATATGATGTAAACCATTATGTAATTTCATTATAGACAAGTAGTTCAATGAAATCCTTTAAGCTTACGGATCGTTGACAAGTAATAAGTAGTGAGTTGAGTTATCGTCATACAAGGAATAACATTTAATTGTAGTTTAATAGTTACTATCAAATTTGATAAGTATTACACAAAATAGATTGTTTTTGTTATTATTCTACTTTAAAGTATAAAAGCAATAAATATTTAGTTTTTATCAAATGACAGAATGAATGTATTGAATTTCCAACTCTACCTATTGACTTCTAGTTTCAATTTTCAACTTATGTTAATTAGTGTGATTAACATGTTCATAACAATCGATAATCCAATAATATTAAATATTCATTTTCAAGATATATCAAACATATGTTTAACCCGATTCGATCATATTCATAATCTGAATTTATATGAAAAACATGCATTTAATTACAGGATTATCACACTCGATCCCAAACATCATAAATATTATTCCTAATATGATCTTTAATCATTATGTTAAATATGCAATGTTCTATCTATTGTAAGTCTCCCAACACTACAAATAGATAATTAGTTATCTAAATGATGGCCAAACATTAAAAAAAACACAAGATTCATGCATATTTAATCAAGAACACAAGAATTAGCTAAAAAACAATAAGTCTTCTATTAAAAACTATAAATCAATGGTTTCATCATACATCTAATACATAAAAGTTCTAACCTAACATTGCCATATGAAAATTATACAAACGAACGGAAAATGACATCACCCGAAGCTAAGAATGTAGATAAGACTTTTAAATATCGATTCCTCGCTTGAAACTCGATCCCGAAAGATGCAATCTCGCTCCTTGAATGTAAAATTTAATTTCTTGCTCAATTATGATAAAAACTAGCATGTTATGGACGAAATTTATAATTTATAGAATGTAGAAAGATTGCCTTTAATTTGTTACCAAAATGAAATAAAGAAATAAACAATTTTCTCGGAATTAGACGTAGGCACGCCTGGTCTCTTTAGGCAGCCTCAGGTGAGTCATATTGATCTAAGGCACTCGCCTCGCATACCCGCGAAAGCGCGCACCTTGCTTGGCCCTGAACTTTCTCCAAGGTGATTTTTCGTTGTTTTTCGATTATTTTCTTTTTCAATTGAGTCTTAGGACTCTCGATTCTTCATTCTTCGCTTCAAGCAAACTTTTGATTATTTGTATTTTAATCCCCAAGCTTTGCATTTGCTTCAATTAAGTCTCTTATCAATTGTTTTCTTCAATTTTACCGATGTCATTGATGCTTTCTACAAAATCAATATTTACATAAAATTGTGCCATGTTTCACATAATTAATCAACAAATAGTCTAATTTAACGATCTAAATGTTTACACACTTATCTAGTAGCATTATTCGAGCACGTTAAAAGTATTTAAAATTTTTTGTCTTTTAATTATCGGATATGCTCTTGGAAAAAATATAAATTTTACGCTCATGTATGTTTTAAAACCTTGGATCCTATTCCCAGGCTTCATCGTTCTCGCTCAATAATTCTCTCTTTCTCACACACACACACATCTAAGAGTGAAAAACCCTGTAATTTGATTCAAACCTAATAAACTTTGCTAAATCCTGACGCGTACGTAGGTCGATGGCTGGTTTAATTTTTGATTCTCTGTTTGATTGTTCGATCAATTGATCGATTGAAAAGGGTTTTGAAGTTTTTTTTTGGAAATCTCAATGTCAAACCCATCAAGGTCTCATGTCACTATAACCCTAGGGCGCGGTGCGCAGGTAATTAATATTCAGTACTCTTTTATACTCTTACCTTTTATTTATCTGGCAAATGAAAAAGGATTTCTTTATTTTCTTATTGGAAGCACTATTATGTGCTATGATGTTGTATTTAAATTACTGTTAAGTTGTAAATGCGTTTTTGATGATCATATAAAACGGATAATGCTGGTGTTTTTCATGTATTAATTTGGCAATTGTGAAACAATTTCTTTGTTTTCAATTGGAAAAGACTATTATGTGCTATTATATGGTGATTGAGGATCAAATAATGTGGAGAAAAGGATAAAACTGGTGTTTCTTGATTAAGCAATTTTGGATTTATTTAGAGGTGTTTTCATATATACTGAATTTAGTTATTTGGATGGTATGGAAGAGGGCAATAGAAGAGTTTACACCCTAAAGCTTTACACATATAAGTAGTTATGTACATATATTAATTGGTTTCTCTGCAGGTGGTGAAACGGTCAGGGCATACAGTGGATAGTTCTTTTACTGATTTGCAGCCAGCTGTTGGAAGCAAACGATCCGTTAGAGATAGGCTGGGAAGTAATGCAGATTTATCTCTCCAAGTCAACAAGCGGTATATACTTTTGGTTTCTTCTATTGGCTTATTGTTGTTATGAAGTTGTGTTGTGTTTGAATACTTGTCTTAGTTTCAGGGGTTCAGCTTTTTCTTTTTTTCTTTTCCTATAAATATTCATATCCCAAATAAGTATAAACTAGAACTACTGATCATTAGTTGCTGCTACAGTTATTCTGATCCCATATGATGTTAGACATTATTCGTTAGTTCTAATATTGAAGATGGGGTTTAGTTATTTACAGTATAGAAGAAAAAGTTAAAATGGTAAGATTATATTCTGGAAGTTGTATATTTATGGAGCCTGTTCTATGCTTGGCAGAATGCGGGGAGATGGCAGTACTGCTAATGCTGTGGACGGTAACAAACTCTTTTTGAGTCCTTTAAGTTTTATATAATCTAAAAATTGAGCCTTCAACTAGCTTATCATTTGTTAATTTTTGTTGTTCTTATATGGAAAAAGACATTTATCTAAATAGAGATGACCTCCGATTCAAAATCATGCAAAACAAAATTATGAAGCAGAAGCAAAGTCATAACAAGAAGCAAAATGAGCCAGATCTTCGCAACATTTTGTCAAGGCCTGATCAATCTTCAACAAATAGCGTAGTTACTCGGGAGCGCATGCCTAAGCTAAAGAATACAGGACTGCAGTATCCAGAGCTGAGGTATAGTAGACAGCATTTCCAGGAGCCAAAGGATGGTAGGCAACTAACCTCTGTAACCAGGGATTCTAGACAGTACCTGCGCGAAGCTCGGGATCAGCGCATGCCTAACCCAAGGAAACACTGTGTTCCTGAAGCCAGGGAAGTTAAACACGGCATGCATGATACCAGACATCCAATCCCTGAGCCAAGAATTTCAAGCGTTACTACACATATGCCTGGCACGAGAACTGTGAATGATGTGCCCAAAGTGGACTCAGTGATAAATTCTTATTCTCCCTGGACTATGGACCGTTTAAGGCAAAGGTCGCCGGGTGAATTTTTGGGAAGTTCACGAGGTCTCTCACCACCCAGGAGAGAAGAAGAATTACAGAGAAGACTTCCAGTTAGGACATATGATGATGGTGGAATGAGCACGTACACGAGCAAAGATGTTTTTAACTTTTCGAGCTCCATGAATTCTACACCTTTAATGGCAAAAATGGTTCCATCTGCTGGACCTTCAAAGACCTTGACACCAACGGTTACCCCACTTACTCTACCTGGCAGTGATATACAGAGAAGTGCATATGCAGTACATACTACTTACCTTTCTGCTTTTTCTTCCTGCAAATTTTTTATTACCACTGCTGCATGTTACTTGGAGAACTAGTTTGTGCTAACTGTTGTGTGTACTCTCTCTCTCTCTCTCTCTCTCTCTCTTCCTATGAATAATGTATGACTTAGGTGGTTGGCCATGTTTTGCGTAGGCCTAAAAAGGCTACCGTTCATAAGAGAGTGATGCAATCTCATTAAAACATGGTAGAAGAGCCAGGGGTAGACCAAGAGCAACATGTCCTGATGTGGCTGCTAAGAGTCGAGTTGCTTTGGATCTAGTTGATAGTTATAGCAATGAAGTGAACAGATCGGCAAAATTATTTATACCCCTAAATTTATTGAGATAAGACTATGTTATTTGTTTATGTGTGCTCTATGAATGGTAAAATTTGATATTAATCTTATTTGGGAGTTGCAAAATTGCTTCTAAATTTAGGAGAATGTTCCACTGTAGGATTAGGACTTGGTAGATTATGTACTTAGACAGAAAGGTTTACATGAATACGAGTTTCACTTTGTATATGGTGTTTACCGTTTTGAGTAGTGTTGTCCATTTGAAAAGATAAGTCAGTACCATATAAACGATGTTTTTACCTCTTTGAACATCATGAATTCATTTGCTTATCTCCTAGTCAATTATGATGTCATCAGGTATATATTCATTTGGGAGTGACTTCTGTTGGCTGCCCTTGCCTCACTTTAGAAACCTTTTGAATCATTTTGGGAACCTATATGGAACATTAATTGATCGACTTCAAGTATACTAGGAATAACTAATTAATGCATAGGTTGTTATTATTGTTTGTCATATATAGAAATAGGTCAACTTCTAGTGTATTGAGAATACGACATAGGTTTTTTTAGTATTGTTGCATATGGACTACTTACCACAAATTGGTTCACATGATCAGAAGTTTAAATTCAATCATTTAAGAGCAAGATAGAAATTAAAGATGGAAAAAAGACCACAATATTCAATGTTGGGTCTCTCTTTCCTACTTCAGCCTCCATTTTTAAGAAAAAAATAATATTGAGCCTGTTCAAATTCCCATTGTTTATTTTTTCCCCTAAATACCACCCTATGGCAGAGTTTTTATTAATAATAATGCAGGAAAAGGAACAATAAAACTTTGGAGGGGTACATAAAAGCCTGACCTCCAGCTATATGGAAAAAATGCGAAATAACTTAGCCAGACTGAAAGACTTAGAATATATGGTAAAAAAAGATCTATTTTATGCTTTGTGACCGTGCCACGCTCCTTTCGTCATGCGTCATGATCCCTTGTTTAATCATAGCTGTGTCATTAATGTTATTTGAGTAGAGATGGTGCTTACATCATTACAACAACTATGATGTTAGAAGCTTTTTTGTTTTAATCTTTAAAATTTCTATGTGGGCTCCTCATCAGTAGCTGCAATGGGATATTCAAATTTGGAATCTTTCCATTAGTAGCTACAGTGGGATTGATCATGAATTTTATGGATTTCTTATGTGCAAGACTGATTGTTTCAACATTTTTCCAATGTCCATTGCAGTGTAAAATTAGATAAAGGATGTCAAACATAGTCAGTTATTCATATTTGTTTTTACGTATTTAGTACCAAGATAGTGAATTCCTGGAACTTGATTCTTGTGGTATGAACTTCTGATGGTTTACCAGCTATCCATAATCCAAAAATTTCCCATTCCAGCACTCTCAAAATTCCAAAGTCCCAAGTTGTTTTCTTCAGGATCTCATAGTGTGACCCATTTCATTTACTCTTTAATATTGTGAATTTTGTTTACCTGTCAGTATTAAATCATTTGACAGTGCAGTGTGCACATTAATCCTTTGTGTGTTATCTGCATTTTCCTGTGCTTCCATACTTGACTAACTATAATTTATACAGGTGAATGATCAACTTACTGTCGACAGCTTTTTGAAATCTCTGGACCTGGAAAAATATGCAATTTACTTTAAGGCTGAAGAAGTATGTGGCTTCTGCTGATCCTTTCACTTTTTTTAACTTGCAATGCATAATCCTCCGTTCTTTTAATGTGAAATTCCAAGGCTTACAACTCTACAGTCAGTCTTTATTTCTACAATTAGAAACATATGTAAGAGAAGAATTGTTGAAAGTTGAAAATAGGAAATAAAATGGTCTAATTGAAAAATTGAAATGACAGAGAAGGTATCAATTTTTATGCTGGAATCTGGAGTAAAGGTAAAATGAATTATGTACTTGATCATTAATTTACTCTTTTGGTTGTTCACACGGAATCCAAAATTTTCAGTTTTTTTCCCCCTTCGCTGAACAAGGTAAATTGAGGGTATTTGCGTATATTAATTGGGTTTTTAATACATTCTACAGGTGGATATGAATACTTTGAGGCAGATGGGTGACAGTGATCTGAAAGAGTTGGGAATACCTATGGTAATTGGCTTTGTGAACTATGGACCCGTCTTGGGTTACTTTTATATATATAAATATCCATTCATAGCTCATCAAATATACTAGTTGCCAGTAGATGAGGTAGGGTCAAAACTATTGTCCACTGAATAAGCAATGTGGCCTTACAGTAGTACATTTTACTTGATGGTCGAACGTACAAATAGTTAGGCTATGAAGTGGTGGATGGTAGTAATTTGAGTTGGTAAAGATGGCTAGTCAATCTTTATGTTTCTTGTTTTGGAAATGTAGATGCTATGAAACATTGGAACGTGATACGGACACGATACCGATATGCTAACGTGCTTTACAAAAAAAAATAATAATAAATAAAAATAAAAGTGGGGCATGAAAACATTGGAACACATTTATTTAAAATTCTTTAAAATTATTCATTTTGTATGTTATATCTTTATTTTTGTACCTTTATAATTTCCTATAAAATCATTATTCTTTTTTAGCTTTAATTTTTGGACGTGTCCTGAAGTGTACAAGGAGTGGACATATCTCAGGACACTCCCTTCCCTTTAATGTTGTCATTCCCAACGATCATATACTTTAATCTCGGGTTTTCATCTTTAGATTCTCACTTACAGAAGGTGCACAAATTGCAGGGCCCGAGGAAGAAGATCCTACTTTCCCTGCTGCCTCGTTCCAAACGACCAATGTGATATGTATATTCTACAGGCAAGATTCATATGGAGCATTACTGCCATTAATGTGAACTAAGGAACTTGAAAGATATTCTGCTGCAGCAGACTTTTGTATTTTCTCCTGCTTCTGGTTGAAAGATCGAGCCATTAAAACTTTAGTGATGGCATTTTGTAGTTGATATTTTTGTTGCGGCATGTGGAAATATTTCATTTTCCGATACAGTATCTTTTCCTGGTATTGCGTTTTTTGAATGCATAGCATTGCTTTTGCATTTTGAATCTTGTAATTGAATTTTCTGAAACTTGATGAATAGTGACCAGAAAATCTTGTGGCATTATGCCAAATATAATTAAGGGCCTCAATAGCTGCAGCCAGATAAAACTCAATTCGAATGAAACCATATTCATCACATCATTTCTTGGCCTGCACAATGAATATGGTTTCATTCGAATTGAGTTTTAT